TTCTCAGTAAACACTGAAGTTTACTGGAGAGGGAAGCACTTCAACTTCACCAACAGCCAAGACAACGCAGGGTAGAGGGTACAAAGACACGAAAACAAGGCAAGAAAGATGAATGCATATAGAGAGAGAGCTCAGCAGCAAAGACTGGAAAGAGGGATACAGGTCACTGCTTGAAGAAGCAGAGGAAAGTCAAGGAGCCTCGAAATTAGAAGACTGGGAAATTTATCTCTGTAAAATTTGAGATTGTGCAAATTTCTATCTTGATAAATCTTTGACAAGAAACTTGGTACGTATTCATATGAAGCGCCTCTCAGAAGGGAGCAGGGTAAGACAGAGAGAAGGGCCTTATCAGTAACTTCACAGAACTCAGCTAACAGCAACAGGAGAGATCCCATCTCTCTGTTGTCCTTCAGGGCTGGATGAATTCCCTTTGTGCTACCACGAAACTGACATCCCAATACATCCAAGGTCAGAAGTGAGCAACACCTGCCAAGTCTCTGTGATTGTAACACATACCAGATGTGCTACTGCTGACCTGAGCAGAAAACTTGGGCTATGAACTTACACAGGCAAATTTTGAGGCCTCTCTACCCAGTTCTTCAGAGAGCAAAGATGCTGCATGGAGGTTCTGAGTTAAAAAAAAAAAAAAGAAGATAACTGCAATAACAAACAAATACGGGAAACAGAGCGAAACCCGAGATGACACAGGTTTGTCCATATACTTGCATGAACTTTAACAGACCCTGAAATGAACACTGAGGCACCAAGGCCAGCTTTGGCCCAACTTACCTTATTCAGGTAGGGTAGAAACGTTTTCAGCATGTAAATCTTTAGAAAAGGCTGGCGTGCAAACTCCATAAGGTGCTGTTCAGCCATCCCTCACCAGAGTCTATCCAGAATTGTTTAAACACCACTCTGAGCAGGCTAGGCCAATACAAATATTACAAACTGCGATTAGCAACCAAAGACCTGGTCTGAGCACAACAGAAGAAAAATGACCTGCTCAGTATTTCATCACTCCTGACATTTAGAAAACTTGCCTAAATTTCTCAGCATAGTCCGTAACATGATGTGGAGCTACAGAAAAGCAAGACATCAGAACATTCCTGAGAGGTTAAGATCAAGACTGGCGCTTTTCAACCCTGTCTTTATTCAACTTTTTTTCTTGGGAAAAAAACCACTAGCAGATGCCTCTGTGCACAGCAAGGGGCTCTTGGCTATGACTTGGCTTCCAGAACTCCACTTGCTTTACCAAGCTCTCACTCCCACTCCTGTTCTCAATCTTCATGCAGCAACAAACAGGACAACAGCTTTAGAAAGTTTGAGGAAGAGGCTGAAGAGAATTTGAAGAGTGATGTTTGTGTTCATGCCGACTGACATTCCTCATTTCAGACCACCTCCGTACATTATCATCTGTAAAAGGGATCCATTAAGCAGCACTCCCAGCCCTATTTGCTTGTTAAGTTGGTTTCATGTTTATTATGTGAGAAGGAAATAGTTCAGTGTAGACACGAACTCATTTGGATCGGTGCCCTCAGGCAAACACAGCTACAGTGGAAATCTTGTACATATGAGGCGTAATAAGCTGGAAGGGAGAGGAGGGCACATTTCAGGGGATAAACTGTTTACTGTCAGCTAGATCAGCACAACAGCAGCCCCAGATTACGAGCTGTATTGCTCGTTAGCACAGCACAAAGCCCAGAATTAAGAACTACCTGCATGCACCTGCAGTGATGGCTCCTTGTTGAATTGCATACCTGACACAGAAGCTGCACTATATTCCACTCTGCATCTTTCCTGTATTCTCCAGCCAAAACTCTTTTCAAGTTTGGCTTTCAGTGCTTCCAACACTGAAAAGCAGAAAGGATTGTCAGGAATTCTGTTATCACTGTCGAGCACCACATTTCACTACATAACAAAACTGGGGAGGCGGGGGGAAGAGATCCAAGTGTAAGTGCACACAGTCCAAGAACCAACTGGCAGAACATTTTTTATTTAGAAAAAAGGGACTCCATCATCTAGAAGACAAACATTATAATTTGTGCAATAATTATAGCTCAATTATTTTCCCTATCCAAAGGCCTGTATTTCCTCCTCCCAACTGGATTTAGAAGCAAAGGCCTGAGCCTTTATACAAACAAGTTAATGGATTCTAATGGCTTACCCTGATGCAATGTCATTTAATCACAGCAGTACTTCATCTTCCCTGCTGTATTCAGGGAAGGAAAAATATAAAGACTGCATACACATTCAACTGTCTAATCTAAACACCTCTTATTTCAGTTTTCAAATTCCATTATTCTCATTGTAGTCAAATTTTCCCATGCTTTCATCTTAGTACCCTCTTTCCTGTCCCTTAAATTGAAGAAAAAAAAAAAGTCCATCTTTAGGTCTCTGTATTTCTCAGATCACTTGTCACTATGTAATTAAAAAAACCTCATTCATATATTTATTTTACAGTAGTTACCAGTTTTTGCTCACTGTTTCCTCAACTCTAAATTTACTTCATAGGAAACCGATCCATTTTAAAAAAAATGTTATTCCCAACTTAATAATGTTACTTTAAATGAAGAGTGAAAGTACACAGTACAAAAAACAATGCTTCAAAAACCAGGAGCCTGCAACCAAAATCACATACAAAACAAAACACAACCAAACCCAAATACAACCACCTAATACTGTATCTGCTTTGGAAGACTTATCTTCCATTCCCAACTGTCCCCAGATCCTATTCCCACCACATGTAATTGCTCCTGGTTGCTTTCCATTTCCTCATCTCTGTTCTTATTTATTTCACTTTATCACAATTCTTTGTCAAGACAGTTCTTTCTCCATGGGAGTGGACCAGAGACCCAGTTAGACAGTGCAGTCACCGGTGCTTCTCCACACCCAGAGCAAACAAGATGAGTCAGCCCAATTTCTTCTCCAGTACCTTCTCCCTATTCAGCCCACTGGGGCCACCTGCTCAGTCTTTTCCTCTCTCCTCCTCCTCCTCTTCTCCAGTCGCTTCAGAAGGCAGGTAGATGCTTTCTCACAGCTTTTCTCCTTGGCAAGTACCACTTAGCCTGTTCTTCCTTATTCTCAGTTGTGTCCTATAGAAGAGGCCTGGTTTTAATCTCATAGTTGCAGGAATGGTATAAAGTAAATAATTAACGCTGGCACTCCACCAATCCCACCCATTTCACTAACAGGTTAGTATCACATGTGCACTCCACCCCATCTTACTCATGAGATGTAATTCTCAGGCTCTTTTCCTGTCTCTGTTTCTGCAACCCGCTCTTGTTTGTTTGACCCTTCCCTGGAGCTCATCACTATGTTTAGTGCTCAGCAGCCTCTTCTGTCTCTCTCTCTACTCCATGTCTCTCCTCACCCTCAATACCCTCCTTATCCTCTCTCTCTGGTCCATGAAGACTATTAACATCGCATCTCTCTTGCATTCTCCCTCATCAGCATAAATTCTTGTCTTTTGTTTGGCCCAAACTCTTGACAAAAATCCCACTAATATTCAGAAAGAAAGAGGGTACTTATCACAGCTAAGAACAGAGTAGGAAGTAACACATGTACAGTAAAACCTGCAGCTCTTTTGGAAAGGTGCACTTTCTCATGAGAAGTGACAAGGCACTGAGGCCAAACCTCATGGTACAATACCAGAGGACAGTTCGTCTTTAATCTATCCCGCAGTCAACGGGGAATTAACAACAGAAGAGAAAGGTGGAAGACCAGAAGACCTCACCCCTCCCAAAACAAAAAAAGTACCACATTTGTTCAAGGTAAACAAAGGAACAAAAAAGCAAGAGAAGCAGCCAAAAGAGTTGTAGCTGCCAAGTTACTTAAAACAAAAACTCGACTAAAGTGCCAGCCATTCAATCTGCTCCTTGACCCCTTTCAATTGTATACACAGTGTTATTGTACAGGCAATTACTTCTGTATGTACTATTTTTCCTAGGGCACTTAGTGTTCCCTTGCTTTTGCTAGAGTTGTCCATTTATTACAGCAGCTAACAAATCCATGCACAACTGCGACATTTTCTTCATAGCGTACTACATAAGCGTTAGAGAAAGTTGCCAAATTAAAGCCTTTTGCTCCTGAACTTTCAAAATGTGTTGTTACTGAATGCCACGCAATAGACCACAACTGCTCTGTAAGTCTCAAAGGAAGCACTACAAGCAATATTTAAATCATTTTATTTTTCAAATTCAAAAATAACAATTAGCTTTATTTAACGTTACACATCTCACAGATTTAAAATATCATGCTCTATTTAAATATCTGAGTGACAACACTATACAAATAAAATGTTACACAAAATATATTTAAGAAAATGTTTTGGTCTTCAATCTGAACAATAAATAGACAGGCACTTCTACATATACAAAGGAAGCAACCACTATTTAGAATAACTCTTATAAGCAAGATGTGGAAATAGAGAAGAAAATCTGAGTTCTGAGAACATGTTTAACTCTACATGGACATCATGCAACTTCAAAGTTTGTTTCAAAATTCGAAAATCTTAGGATCTGCAAAACTGTAGATTTGCTACCGCTTTATAGGAGATCCAAACCATGCTCTCATAAGCAATGTGCAATTTCAGTTATTTGTATCAAATCAAGCTACCTAATCACATTTAGTGCCAAAACAGAAAACAAGGACTGACCAGAGTAGCTTTACACATAAGTATCATGAGCAACAAGTCAGCTTTACCTCACGCAATCCATAGGGCAGGGGGCAGACCTAACTGTACTTAGTGCCCAGCCCCAAACAAAATCTCTTCTTCCTTCTCCTTATATATTCATCTCTTTCATGGGGTGTTTAAAACAGTATTATGCTTTTCTTGTACATAAAGCATAATCGAATAAAATAGTAAATCCTTCAGACACAGGCACACTTTGCACAAAAGATCATAAGTAAAGGAGAAAAGATTGTTTCAGGGTGCAAGAAGACTGAGAACTGTAAATTAAAAAAATTCAATAAAGTCTCATAAGTGTGTTTCGTACTCAAACTACATTCCTCCAATTTGTGAATTTTCATTGACAATCATTTCCACACACCCACACACAAACACTACTCAAGGAAAACTACCTTCCACCATCACAATTAATGTAAGATGCATTGCAGTAGGCAATCCTTGTTTCCAACACAGCTAACCAGCCACTGACAGCTAGTTACAACCGTGAAGTCCTTTCTAAAATTAAGACAAATTATGAAACAATGACCACTGGGACAGTGGAAAAGTCAGGACCAAGCCTTCAAGCCACCCCCTCAAATTTTAGTATTATTCTCATTTTCAAAAGTACAGGAAAAAGTTCCCAGAGAAAATTAAACTATTAAACAGAGCTCCAATGGTCCACCAAGAAACCCAGCCCCAAACTTAGAGAGTTATCTGGACTTAAGACACTTATGCACATTGCTTTAACAATTTAAGTGTGGATCTTGCAAGCGTGTCCAAATCTTAATCATTTCTTGAGGTTTTCTACTATGTACTAACATTAAGTTTGTGTAGGAACATATGTTATTTCTGTATTTCTCTTCGATATCAAATGTTTTGAAGCCTTTGTGTTTTTCCGGAGCAAGCCCAAGCTTCTGAAGGCACATTCCAGTATAAACATCATCAATAGGGTAAAGAAGTACCTGGTCAGACGCATTATTCAGTCTTAATGCCAGATCACCAGAGTACAGAAACCCACCGCCTCCTGCATATGGAGGATATGAACCTTCATAAACACTTTCTGGGATGTAGTACTTCAATTTTTTTTCTCTGTGAGGTCCAGCATCTTTGATCACATCGCCTATAAATAAGTCTTTGGCTTTGTCCTTCGATAAGCTCTTCAAGTAATCCAGGATCTGATGGGTATTCACAAAAACATCATCATCACCCTTAAAAATAAACTGGACATCTGCGCAACTGCTGCTAACCCACTTGAGAAACAGCACCTCTTTCAGAGTTAAATTGAAGAAAGTGTCTCTGTAGTTCCAGAGGAGAATGTCTTGGTGAGTTTCACTCTCAAATTTTATCATGTCTGAAAGATCAGGAAAATTATCCTCTGGTGGTGTCTGTCCAAGTAAGAACACCCTTTTGACTGTCACATTCCCTGATTTTATTTCCTTGCCCCAGGATTCCCTAATTGCTTGCCTTCTATCAAAATGGGGTGTAAGTGACTTAATAGCCAGCAGCAGAAAAGGTTTATGTTTGCACTTGTTTGGCTGATCCATTAATAAAGAATAATTTCTACATCTCAAATAAAGTAGAAAGTCTTTGAATCTGTCCGGCAAGTTTGCAAAGTCACTGACCTCCGAAGATACCCATGGGTCAGGGTCACAGGAACTGAGAACACTCAAGTTAGAAACCAAGTTCTCTTCCACAGTCATATTGGAAAGCAAGGTCAGAATCGGGTTGTACAGCAGTTCGAGCTTCTGTTGCTGTTTGTTCCAGTAAGCTTTATGAGGAGTGTATTTTCTCCAGAATTTGCTGCGTGGTATAATAACACGGCCTTTTGCATTCTTCTCTTGGCTACCACTTTTCGAGACTTCCACAATCACATAAATAAAAATATTTACCATCATCAGAATTCCCAGCAGCTTTAGTCTTCTGCGTCCAACACTCATTTCTCATATCTGGAAAGAGAAGAAAATGACAGATTTTTAGCCTGCTTTCTATCAAGCTCTTGATCTTGTAAAAATGCAAACTACTTTCAGACAAAGAATGTGCAAGTTACTAGCCAAAAAAGAGACATTACCTACACCCCCAAAAAGCAAACGCTAATCTACATCTAATCCATGCACACCTACAACCAGTAGGGGCTTGGGGCTTCATCAGCCAACAAGAAGCTGGTAAGAATGTAAAATTTCCAAGTGCTACTTTGGAATTTTACATAGCATTTCACAGTGCGTCTAAATTAACCAGCAGTTTTTGCTCTTCGTTTAAGTCTCCTTGAGACACCTGACTATATAATCACAATATGAGCCCTCAGCTTGGCAAAAGGCAGACGGAGAAACTTTTTTTTTTACTGCTACAGTGAGCTTAAGGGTATGGAATAAATTCCTATACGATAAGGTCAGTTATTTTTAAATTAAGTTTTAAGTTTTTATACTTGCACTCCTATACCTTTCAACTACATAATAGGCAAAGCTGAATTTTTAAGCATACAATTCATTTCTGTCCATTTCACTTGGCTGTTCCTTAGGAGAGAGACTAACAAAACTGTCCAGCTGCATTGCTGGTGTTCAGATCTCTGCAGACACAAGAGAACGTGAATTATTTTTTTTTTCCTCCAACTGGAAAAGGAAATGAATGGCAGCAGAAAGCAAAAGTGTAATTATTCCTATGAAGAAAAAAGAAACTGAAGATAAATAAAAAAAGAGGAGGTTTCCCATATATGTAAAACCACGAATAGTGAATGTACCTCTCCTTGTTGCAAAGGTTATTCTGTGACTCATCTCCAGTTTTTACTGACAGAAAATGGATCAATTAATTTTTCTCCCGCAGCTGTCAGAATGAAAGTTGCACAGTACAAGGAGCAACACGAAAACAGTGCATTCCTTTATAGTAGTGCTTATCAAACTGTTTACTAGCCCATGGGGAATATCAATGTACAAACCACACAAAATTTAACAAGTAATTTTAAATTGGAAAGTCACACAAGAAAACAATTTAGAATTAATAAGAAAGTTAGCAAGACTGCTTTTAAGTCAGATACAGAACTCATTGTTGAAGATGCTTTCAATTGCCAGGAGCATAAATGATTATTGGAAGACCAGAAAAATCTAATGAAATAGAAGATTTGTAATGGCTGTTAAGCCCTGCTGTAAACACTGCCTCAGAGTCCCCGGAGTCAGAGAGCACCAGCAGTCAGGAAGGCACACTTGAGAAGTACACCTTGTACTTCCTCCAATTTTCCTTTTATTTCGGCCATCTCAAGATGCCAGAGCTAGACTGACCCTTGGTCTCTTCTGATTTGACAGGTCTGTCTTTCTTTCACTTCTCTGCAAGTTAAACACAAAATTTAGTATGGAAGCAGCAGGTAAATAATCAGTAATTTTTTTTTTTCTTCTCACTTGACCCCTGGATTCTCATTAAATCCAAAGCGGGGAGAGTATTTTTGAATTTAAATAAAAAGCCACTCCTAGAAAGAATGGACTACTCTGAAAAACCCATATTCTTCCTTCATTTGACCTCACATATCATCTGCATGTCCTGTTCTCAGCTAGCTCTAAAGTTTGCTGTTCTGATTTTTTATTAGTTTTCTTCCATACCTCAAAGACAAAAACAGCTGAACTGTTAGAAAGCACTGGCTGGCCACAGAGAGTTCAAAGAAACTTTATATTCCCTTTTCAACTGCCACTAAAATCAGATCATGATATATTATTTTTCTTCACTTCCCTTTCATTTACACACAAAAATACTGCAGAAGCAGCTGTCCCGTGTTTTGTACTATTCCATGCAGTTCAGCATGCACATCAGTGCTTATCTATGCTGTCCTCGACAGCGCTTCTCACTAAAACAACAAATGACATGGTATCTGACCTATGATCTCAGGACTCCCCAGACAACTCTCCCCCAGTAACAGCTAACAAACACAGGACTGTCAGGAGCTCAGCCAGAGCCCGCTTTTCCAGGATATGGAGCACTACACAGCTCATCTCTTTGCAGCCCTCAGCTATTAAGCTATGAGTATTCAACACCTCTGTATGTCACTTGGATGCTTGACTCAAGACTGTTCTGGATACAGTGAGACACCATTTGCAAAGACTTTATTTCAATCACTCAAGAAAATCCTTCAAATCACTAAGTCTTTGGGGTAAGCATTAAAATTCTGTAACTAACAGACCTTCCTCAATCTTCTTTTTCATTTGTAGCCTTGCAATCCCCTGCAGAAAATGAGAGAGGGATCCTAGTCAGAAAAATCTCCATTTACTGTCAGACTTAAAAAGTAGAAGTCTGGCAAGATGACAGTGGTTCCATCACATAAAGTATGGTAAATGCTATCGGTCCCACATGTAAATACTTCCAGTATAATTTTCAGTCTCCTTTTTAAAAAGCTATCCAATATTGGTGATAAAATTAATACTTCTGAAAAGAGACAGGTAACAAGTGACAATCAATGCCAATATAAGTAAGAGTTTTGTAAGACACAACACCCCCCACAATTTTGCATGAAAGCGTTCTTCTCTTCTGTAATCAAAAGCTATCTACATGTGGTTTTCTTATTAGTTCATAACGAGTATAACTCATTAAGAATATCAAACCAATACTAAGGACTACCAAGTGAAATAGGCATAAACACTGCTTTGTTAAAAAAAAGTATCCTTTCCCTAAACTAGACCAAGACAGGTTGTATTAAACACATATTCATACAGCATTAGATCAAGGTTTCTGAACTAAAAGCAAATAAAAAATAAACAGACCTCATATAGGCTATTTCTATAAACAGAAATAGAATCCTCAATTTTGCAATGACTGTGTATTAGCTTTAATCATTACACCTGAAGATAGGAATTAACAAAAGGATGCCAGTTTGGCAATTTCACATCAAGTGAACTGGTTTTATCACAAAACACAGTATAACAACCCTCATCACAACAAGGCTTGTGTTGCATTTGTAATGTTGTTGCTAGTAAGGGGTTTTTGTTTGGTTTGGGGGTTTGTTTGTTTTTACAGTGTGAACACCCACAGCCCATGTCTCAAGGCAAATGTCATTTCTTCATCTGCTTTGCTGACACTGATTGACAAAGCACCAGCACATCAAGATTCTGTGCCCTGGGCAGCTTGCTAAGGAGCAGCATCGTAGAGTACAAGACAGCACCCATTTCCTACTTACAGCTTAGCCACAGCAAACTGGACAGATCACAAGAACTTTCTCCTATTCCAGTAACAGCTTCTTCTATCAGCATTAATGCTACAAAAATTCCCAGCTGCCTCCTTCAACTGCTGAGAATGGATGATCTGTTAGCTAAGCCAAAAACAAAGTAAAAGGGATCTGGCTTGTACTTAAATCTATCTGCTCCATCTTTATGCTAGTTTCACTGAAGAACTGAGATGAGCAGTACAAAGCAATACCCTATGTGAAAAATTCCTGCTGCTTTAGGTGTTAAAAAAGAATAGGCTAAAACACATAGCTAGCTAACATAAAAAGCAGAATACAAGGGTAAACAAATCACAGAACACATCAAACCTTGGGAACAGAAAATCCTGCAGGAATTTATTTCAGCTTCAGCAGGTGACGTGAAGAGTTACCTATGCTCAAAGGCGACACAGGTTTTCAGTGTCCATTTTCAACTTTGCTAAAACGGTCTTCGTATCAGTGTAGCTGAAATCAGCTCAAGTTTGTATAAATCATCACATTTCTGCTTATGCAACTTCCAGCTGCACAGTTATGCGTCACTATTACAGCATACATAAAGTCCATTTGTTCAATGCCTTTAGAAAACATCCATGTGGCTAGGGAAAAAAAAAGGTTAATATTAACCATACCCTGGATAAGCCACAGTTCTGCTTCAGATACAACATTCAGAAAGATGGATTCTGCAGAAAAGGGGGCATGAGGGGAGAGTTGCCCTCTTCAGCTCCACTCTCAACATTTCACTGCAGTTAAAACTAAGATACTGATAGAATCGAACAGATTTATGGAGCCACAAAAGCACCACTGGGATCAAGATACGGATAGAAAAGGCAAGCCAGCAGAACCTGGGAAGAAAAACAGCTTCACTGCGGGACCAGACAGCAATCAATAAAACAAGATGAACCACAACAGAAGAAAACAAGCACTACAAAAAGTCATGAGCTACAAGAAAAGACTCTGAACACCCAAAAAGCTTTAAGTCCAAATGACATTAATGCAAAATGGTGAGAAACTGTTCACAACTGTTTTTTGAACAGGATTATTTAATGCTTTCTCACAAGAGCGAATGTATTCCAAGTGCCTGCAAGGAACCTATTCAGAAGTCTAAGAGTTGGTATGAAATCAGAAACACAGAATCGTCACCGAATCACTCTCCTGAGCTGGAGGAGACTTATGAGGATTGTTTAGTACAACTCTCGAGTCCACACAGGGCAACCTAGAAGTTAATCCATTTATTCAAAAGCATTGTTCAGACGCTTCTTGAATATTGAGTATGCATACTCCATCCAGTTCTAGAAATTAATTATACAAGAGACACTTTTCTGGAGGCAAGAACTTACAAACAGAGGCCATGATGTCCCTTGACAAAAGACAAGGGTTACATCTGGAGGAGGCCAAGCTCAAAGTCAAAACCAAGAACAAGCACATCAAAGTCTACCAGGCCCTAGTTCAGGGCACCCATAATTCACCAGTTTGAACTTCTCACTAGAGTTAGGATCCTGCAGAAGAATTCTGGTTAACCCTGTTACAGCACTTAATTTTCTGTAATGACTTCACAAAGTTAGTACGTGAAACATTGTGACAACAGCTTTAACTTTGTTTGTTTGGGTTTTTTTTAAAACTAATGCTACTAAGACACTGCTATGCACCAAAACAAGCCTAAATCACCATTAAGCATTAGCCACAGGAGACAAGAAGGCAAGAGGAAGAGGCATATGTTGCAAAGCAATCCTCTCTAGGAGAGGCAATGAAACAGTGGATTCAGAC